ATTATATATTATATATTATATATTTGTATATTTATACATTATTTATTTGTATATTTTATATAAATAAATCATAAACATATTTTTTTAACATGAGTAGAATTATTGACTTTTAATTTATTTATCGAGATATTAAATTATTTATTTATTAACACAATTAATTTTTTTCTTTCAATATACATGAAGAAAAATTAGAGACGACAATTATAAAAATTTTATCATAAATGATTCTACCGACTGAATTGATTATCGATTAAATTAATTAGAATTTGATTGAAATCACCTTAAGTTTCGTAGGTATATATACGCGAATATAAAAAAGAATTGATTCTTTAAATAAATTTTTAGTTTTTATTTGTAATTGCAATAAAATTTTCCTAAATCAATGTTGTTCTTAATGACGTACTTAAAAATTGAATATCATTATTATATCACGATATCGTTTACGAAAAGTTATGCAACAAAAATCGAGCGTCCACATTTTTCAAATTTGCGCGCGGTAAGACTGGCAACGTTGCGCGGCAAACTTCTCGCTGTGGAGACGACCATGCTTTGTTCATCTTCGCCGATGAATGACATGCGACTCTGACGCGAAGCTTAAAAAAAAAAAGAAAGGAACGGAGCTGTCTGTTCGTATCCGAACGTCAGGCATCTCGAAGACACGGACATTTCGTCCAGAGTACGATCCCCGTCGTGGCAGGTTCCTTGACTCTCGGGTGGAGCGTGACGTGCGTGGCGGATCTTGCCAGCTATTTCCGGCGGCACGCGGCGCCGCTGACCGCAAGGTGACGTTTGCTGTTCGTCGAACGGGAGGTGTATTGCCTACCGGAGCTGTATCGGGGGGCGAAAGACAAAAAGCACACGCACACGTCAGTCAGGCTGACGAAATTCAGCATCGAAGCGCACGAAGACGCAGTTGGAGGCGTTTGGTGTCCTGGTTGTCCATTCCGGTCGTCGTTGCGGATCAACGAGATAGTAGGAAAACACTTGTCTCCTATTCAAGGTTCCGTGCGGTGTTCTCGCCTCTAGAAAGATGGGTCTCACAATCAGCAGCCTGCTCACCCGGTTGTTTGGCAAGAAGCAGATGCGGATACTGATGGTGGGTCTGGACGCCGCCGGTAAGACCACCATACTCTACAAGCTTAAACTCGGTGAGATTGTCACCACCATACCCACGATCGGCTTCAACGTTGAGACAGTCGAATACAGGAATATCTGCTTCACCGTGTGGGACGTGGGTGGCCAGGATAAGATCCGGCCGCTTTGGAGGCACTACTTCCAGAACACCCAGGGCCTTATCTACGTAGTGGATAGCAACGACCGCGAGCGTATCAGTGAGGCGGAACGCGAGTTGGCGAACATGCTGAAAGAGGACGAGCTGCGGGACGCAGTATTGCTGGTATTTGCTAACAAGCAGGATTTACCTAATGCCATGTCCGCCGCTGAGCTCACCGATAAGCTCGGTCTTAATTCGCTGCGAGGACGTCACTGGTACATCCAGAGCACCTGCGCTACGCAGGGACACGGACTGTACGAGGGCCTGGACTGGTTGAGTAACGAGCTGGCCAAAAAGTGATAGCGTCTCATCGTATCTGGTACTTTTAAGGACAGTTCATTCATCGTGTATGGACGTAAAAGACAGGCGGAGAGTCACTCGGCAATTTCCATCTTTGTCAAATTGTATCGATGTAACGTCTATCATGTACAGTTTAACAATCGCTGCGTTCACAATTGCTTACAGAAATTGATGCAATATACGAATCGAGAATATTATGAGCGCAATTTAACTCTTCATCACCGTACATGCGATTCGATTCGCATGGATTGTGCTTTAGGAACGAAACTTGTTTCATAGGAGGAACAGGAGCATCAGGATATAATAGATAGTCCTTGCGTCATTTCTAAGAATATATATATATATATACAAAGGTTGTACATAGTACTAAGTTCTTTCATACTTTAATATTTGCCAAGTGAATTCTAATTTTGCCTTTTTGATGTATCGAGTGACAAAGTATCGTTTCGATCAGCCGATTTAACTGTGCGGAGATTTATTTATTCATGTATTATTACACGTGAAAAAAAACCGTTGGATATCCTAATTTGTTTTCTATTTTGATCTACGTCCGTGCTATTCATGAAGAATGATACAATGTATGTATTATGTGATGTTATACACAGGCCGTTTACACTTTCTTGTTTTTCTAATAAATAAGTAAATTTTTGGAATTTAAGTCTTAATTGATAGCTTACATAAGGCTTTACAGATAAGTGAACAATTAACTTTAATATTACGAAAGGAAATAAAATTTAACTAAGGTTTATCAATTGCGATTTTCCTTTTTAATAAAAATAGACACTTAAATTGTAAGAAATGTTTAGAAATCGTCATAATAAATCCTAAACATACAGAAAGTATATAAATGTCAACCAATTTTTCTACCTTATGAAAAGTCAAAATATATTTATTGCGTACTTTTCCATTAATATCCAACGCATATAAAAAAATAAAGAAAATGAAAGGAGCCAGGCGAGGAAACAATACCCGTTTACTCGCTCATTAAAATCATGTATTGTCGTGTTAACTAAATGTACAACTTTTGTTACGGTACAAAACAGTACAGTAGTGCTACAAATATCTACTGTATAATATATTGTATAACGTATCAAACGATTTGTTAAAGTATGGTGTTATTCTTTCGTATATAGCACAGCAATCTATTTCATCTCTATTACGAGAAATATAGGAAATAAATTATAAGAAAGAACGCTTCTATTTACGAAATTTATGTACATGGTCTTAAAATACAGTAAAAGTAGATAATCGTTGAAACGTTAATGCGCGACGTCACTATATATATATATATATACACACACACCACACACCACACACACACACATATATATATATAAATATATATATATATGTATATATATATATATATAGATATAATATACGCATATGTTCATTCTTTATAACTTTAACAGACTTTTTTTCAGTATCCTACATACTTTTCATAGTTTATTATACAAAAAAATATGTCATCTCCTGTTTATCACTGTCTCGAAGCATTACATCATTAATACAACCGCCTGTAAAAGCTCTAAGATATATAATATTCTTTTTCTTTTAATTTTAATCAATATTGCTTCGCAATTTACAGGTATCAAGTCTATTGCGAATAGTCAGCGCTAGTTCAATGCACATTTTGTTTTTAACACTAAGGATTGATTGACTCTTGGAATAAATATTATTACACTCGTATTACGTATCGGATAAACGCAACGCAATAGATTTAAATCTTGAAGTACGATGGTATAAAAACAAGAGCGTTATATTTACAACTGTTTTCAGTAGTCGGGCGAGCGGATATTTGGCTTCCCCGGATCCTCCAAAATAAGAGCATGATGATCGAGAGAGCGTAATTGACTCATTTACGTACCCACGTGTTCTTCGGCGGCGGCGTATTGCTCTTACCTAGCGCCGGGAAGTGATTCTCAAGCGTGTGACTGGACATATGCATTCTAAAGTCCGAGCCATTTTTAAGAACCTGACCGCATGTGGCGCACATCTCTAGTCCCTTCGCCTTCCCGCCTGCTTGCTTCTTGTGCACTTTGAATAGTTCCTGTTGCTTCGCGATATCTGGCAGCAATACCAGAAGCTCAGGGAATACGCTCTCGAAGGCGCTGGCGCCCATGACTTCGCAACAGTGCGTATAATACTCCTGGGCGTCGCAGGTACCACCACGAAAGAGGCCGCTTACGTAACGAAACTCTTCGATTTTGTTCTGTTCTACGAGAACTGCGTTAAGCTTTGCTACCAGACACGTATTCCGTTTCTGAAAATCGGGTGGCGACACGTAGACATGAGTCATATGCTTGCTGCTGTTATCCGGCAGGATAGAGTAGCTTTCGCCGGAACTGTTTGTGAACGTCAAGCCGTTGCCACCATGCAATCCGTCAAGGCTGTATTTTATGGAAAAACCGGGCGGTGGTAGAGTCGGCGAAGAAAAACCAGGTGGCGGATTCGTGAAGCCTGGTGGTCTACTGCTAGTGCTACCTAAAGCGGGAAAATCTTCCGTCCGATGGATATTATTGTTGGCGGTATTCAAGCTGTCTATCTTCAACTCGCTACGCTTCCTTTGCTTCTCTCCGTTCGAAGAACCGTTGCCTCCACTTTCAGATTCCGTATTTATAATAGTCGTTACGCTTGAATTTTCATCTACATTATTTTTGTTTTTTCTCTTATCCTTTTTATTCGCATGCTCCGGTTCCTTCGAGTTCTGCACACTTGAATTCTTGCTATTATCGCCACTCGCATTCGTATCTTGCGTGACTCGCGAACTCTCCTTAGAAACAACACGAGAGTTGTCCGAGTCACCAGTACGCGCCAATTCGATGTCCTTTTTTGTCACAACAGTATTTATATTTGATTTGGAGCTGCCAGACTCGTTACCACTTGAACTGTTACCACTCGAAGCCTGCTTCGCTTTTTTCTTCTTCGTCTTACTCTTCGTTTGATCCGTCGTTGTCTTTGTGTTGTTAGTAGTGGAAGTTTGGACGTTGCTGATATTCTGAGAGTTCTGTCCCCACGATGGTACTACTGTGATCATCGATTGTTTTTTCGACTTTAACGACTTGGACAGACTTGGAAAGTCTTCACCAGATCGAATGGGCGGTGCTGATGGTATCGAGGGTGGCGGCGCCACCTTAGATTTGGGCGTGTTTGCTGATGCTGATTTCGAGCAGGTCCATTGCAAGACTTCCTTCCACTGAATCGAATTGGCAGTACTGGTAGATGGTTCGGAATTGCCCAAAGCAGGAAAATCAGAATCTATTGATAATTGAGTGGGACGTATTCTGATGTTAGGTCCGGATACTCTGGTGGTGACAGTGCCGTTCGATTCATGATTCACTTGAATGGAGACGTTCGAAGACGCGGAACCTTTCTGACATTGCGGCAAGCCACTGGATCCCGTGGCATTGCTGCTGGAAACGCTAAAATTTACCGTCTTCGAGATACTGGGACCGGCCGAATCTGGACCCAATGCCGGAAAGTTCTCGTCCGTTACCGCGAGCGGTTGATTCCTCACAGTGCTGCGAATAGTCACGTTCCCTCTGCTTTTGGATTGAGATAAGGTGGGAACGACAGGAATGGCACTACCACCTAACGTAGGAAATTCATCTGTGCTTTGCACATCGACGGACGGTTGTTTCGTGAAGATAGGCTCATTATTAGACATGAATAAATTGGAATTGTTGGATATCGCGCCTTGCTGGTAATCTCTGGAACCATAATCCCTGCCGTTGTAATCCCTCGTGTTTCTCGACGTAGACGCGCCCAGCATACCTCTTCTGTTCATCCGATTTTCGCCACGAGGCGCCAAGGTAAATTCCAGTTCTAATGTTCTCGCCTGCTTCGCGGCAGCTTTACTCAACTGCTTGCCATGAACGCTGGCTTTGTGCGCCTTGAGATCTATGTCGGTCCGAAAAACACTCGTGAACTTTTCCTCCGCGCACACCCCCTCCTCGCATAGATAATGTTCCTGTCGGAAATGGTCTCTGAGATAATCGTAGGAGCTGTAATACTGGTGCAGACCGTCCGCGTCACAGAAATGACAATATAAGTGATCGCGTCTCAGATGTCGGTATAGCTCATCGTTGTCCATGTATCGCTGATCGCAAAATTCGCAGAGTGGATGGCCCTTGTGACTTCTATCATCAATATCACCTTTCCTTCGATGCGTAGCTAAACTTGATCTTGTATAACAACGTCTTTCATTCGAAAATATCTGTTAAGAAGCAAATGATGAATTAATAGAGACACATTGCGATTGTTTATTTATTATTTGTCAATTAACCCATAACAGGAACACATATTTTTTGTAACACTAAAGCAATGTGTGCCCTTGGATCCATTAACATTTTTTGTTATTGGTTTTAAAGTTATTAACTATACAAAAAATTGCAATACTTGAACTTATTGTTAGCATGTCATAAATATAATTATATAGGATAATTATCTTAAATGCCATAAATATAATTATATAGGATAATTATCTTATATGAATAGAACAAAATTGTGAAAAATGAAATTGTAAAACATAAAATTACTTCAAATCATTAATCCATTTAAAAAAAAACATCTCAAGATCACCAGGACTTATATATTCCACAATTACGAGTTAAAAGTATGGTCAAACTCTCACCTTCAAATTCTCCACACATAGGTCACAGTAATGTAACTCATGTTGTTGTCGCATATGATCTTTCAAACTATTGAAACTGCTAAAGACCATCTTCTCCTTGCATATCGAACAGGTGTTGGCTAACAATTCAGTGAATTTTTCTTGAATATTGAGACTACTAAAGTAGATGTCATATCGGGTGTCTAACAGATTGGTATTGGTCAAGCTGTGGAAGGGTTTGATCTCTCGCGTGAACACAACTTTTGGCAGATCCTGGCGGCAGATGGGACATTCGTTCTGAAGGCAGAGCACTCTCATCCGGGTGCTGCATTCGTAGCATACAGGATGCTCGCACATGCCAATACTATAGATGTCGACATTCTTGTAGCATACCACACAGGTATTATTATTAAAGCTATCATTGTTTCCAGACATCCTTGCGGTAGGAATTAAGATCCCTCTCGGTCACACTTTCGTAACTGAATACGTCTCACTAGTTCAAACTCTTGCTCAAATGTGAACAAGAACTTTCCTACGATAATACAAGAGTTTCAGTTGATTCTCACTGATAGATCAGCTCCCTGTATTTGGGCTCCTAAAACAGAATACAACGTTAAGGATGGTACACTCGCAAGAGAGAAAGGAAAAAGAAAGAGAGAGAGAGAGAGAGAGAGAGAGAGAGAAGGAGAGGTCGCGCATGACAAGGTGAACAATCTCGTTAATCGCGAATCGTTCGCACGATAAGCTGTGATGACACGTATCAACCTGCGGTCGACGTCACGCGACGCAATCCTCGAAAATATCCGGCCGTATCAAACTGGCTGGGAGTCCTCCGTCGGGATTCGTTGGGTTGACTTGCTGGACACGATCCTCCGAAAATAGATAACGGTCGCGGAATTGGCAGCGGTTTCAGCAGATGGCAGAATCTCACGAAGCGGCCGAGATTACTTGGGATCCTCGAGTTTTAGGTTCTTGCGACCAACGATCGTTTTTAACTTCCGCGACCGCGTAAAACTTCGTGCACCGAGATGATCTCAGGCAAGAGAGAGAAAGGAAGATGGAAAGACGGAGGCAGATGGACTCGGTCAAGAAAGGGCCCGACCGAACGATCCTACCTGCGTACCCCGCAATACTCCGTACCTGCGGCACGGTATATACATGTGGCGCGCCGACGGCAGAAGGCGCGGAAGCCGACAGAAATTACCTCGCGAATCCGGGAACTGCCGGAAACGTGTGTCTGCGTGCGTGCCTCTCGCTTCTCGATACAGCGTATGCATTCGTATTCTCGCATCACGCGACGGTGATACGTACCGATCGGCGATATCCGTTACGGATTCGTCGTCATCCGGGATTCAGTTATGAAAGCGCGGGAACTTAGACACTTCTTTTGTATCGAGATTCGCGAAAAAGAAAAGAAAAACGAAAAACAGTAATAATATCTCGTCGCTGACAGCACGCAGCAATGTGTTCTAACATCTGGCTCTAACCTGATAGAATCGTTTTACCGACAGTTGTGTGTTCTCCTGATTTACCACAAGATGGAATGCCAGAACCCGTTGAGTAACAATTATAAAAAAAAAAATAAACGATTAAACGTTCGAAAGGGAAGGCGAACCTTCGAATGATAAAGAATGCGGCAATGCGCGAGTATTTCGTTTTTTGTGAAAACGTTGCGATTATTAGCGACAAAATCATAATAAGATGAAGATGGTCTAATTAAGTAAAAGCTATTTTAGAAAATACCACAATGTGTGTATGTGTGTGTGTGTGATTCACTTTTAACGATTGATTTTGTAATAAATTCTTGATAATGATTTTTTATTTCAATTAAACAAATTACTTAAATATTATTGTCATGTCAAGAATTTATCACAAAATCAACATAAAGTATATCGAATGGCATTATTATGATTTTTCCTAAAGCAAATTCTGATATTATCTTGATTGTATTGCATTGTGTTTTTGTATTTTACCTAAGTATCACAACCCAGATAGTACACAACGTTTATAAAATATTTATAAATATTTATTTTAAATATTTTATAAATATTTTTGTGGTCTTAAATTGCACAGATCATAAACATTTATTATAAATATTATGAAATATTTATTGTAAATGTTGTAATAAATGCTATGAAAATACTTAATGAGACATTATAATCCAAGTAAAAAATACTTATTAGAAATATTTATTTATATTTATCATAATAAATATTACATAAATATTATATTATATATTACATAAATATTTAGTCTTTATTTTCGAATTAAGCTTTATATAAAATATGTATGAAATATTTATATAACATTTCAAAAAATGAATATCAATAAATTTTTATCATAAATATTTTGTGCTGTCTGGGAATCAGTATCAATCAGTCTGTGAATCATTTATCTCTGGTTAATCTCTGTTATTGAGAAAATTAATTATCATCGCGACAGCAGGTGACATTTGCAGATATTGATGTGATATATAAACAGCTAGGAAATATCGTGGTTACATCATAATCATGATTATATCACATCTTATGTCCGGTTCCATGTCAATTAGCCACTAACCCCGATGAACTCCACCGTTTTTTTCTTTGCGGTTTTATAGGTTATTACGATCTTTTTCAGCTAGAAATTTTTTAAACGTTTTCCAGTATGATGTTGAAGCGTCTCGTAACTTGTGAACTAAGCATGATTAAAGAAAAATAATGAAAATGAGAGAGAAAACCTACGTCTTCTTTATCAAACTTCGATAATATTCGATAAATATCATATTTTTTAGATATTTTCGCTTCAACGTAATCTCGCTTCAATAGCACGTATTATGGAATTATTTCATTGGAACGGATTTCAATTGGAATCAAAATATTGGAATTATTTCGTTTTTCCTAGAAAACGCACATTAGAAATCTAGAAAATTAAATAATTCCGATTGAAATCCATTTTGAATAATTCCAAAGTATGTATCAAAGATAAATTATAATAACGTTGAATATTAAATTTTGACTTTCGTGACGGAAAATTGAGTTACGATTAAATCAACAGGTTGATTGTGTATTTTGAAACAAGGCACATAAAAATGACAAAAGTGAAGAAATTCATTAGTTGTTGAATAAAATTAGGGTTTGTTCGCGTTACTTGAAATATCCAAGAATTTTACACTTAAAACGAAATAAATATACATTCGACTATTAAAGAGGAAGAGAGAAAGCGAAGATACAGTAGAAATAGTGCAAAAAGTGCAAGTAATGCTGACAGATTTCTTATAAGTATTCTAATAAATTTTCTTATTTTTTTCTCATTTTTATTTTATTTCAAGGTACACAACCGACCCCCAGGTGCAAAACAAGATCAGCAGAAAGAAAAAAAAAACAAGAAAAGGAATTCTATAAGTCACGCAGGCAGTCATAGAATGTCATGATTTCCTCCCTGTCAACAATTTCCAGGAGTTGCAACACCGGAAGATTGCGTAAGGATTCGAACTACTTTTGCGCGTGAATACGAGGTGCTCGATTAAGAAAAGAAATCCTTGCGGCGTCGAGATCGCCGAGATCGACGATCGACCGCGACTTTGCATGCTTAACGAGCTCGCGGTGACGTAAGCAATCTCGTCGCGCGCTTATCTATCCGAGTCCTTTAATATCCGATCCGAGAAAATGCGCAGACAATTATTTATTGATTCAAGGCAGTCCTCTTTAGGTTTTTTATTTTTATTCGCAGTACTGATCGCGCTGAGTCTAGCTGTCCCTCTTCTTCCCTCTTTCTCTCTCTCGATCTCTCTCCCTCTCTCTTTCCGCGTTTATTAATCAGGTACGTGTTTCTCATATGACGACACGTGTACTCGATGGGCCTGAGATAAAGACGAGTGACAGTGATGTAACAAGGTGAGCGTGCACCTGCGGCGCTTAACCTATCGATCTCGCAATTAGTTGCGATTGCACGATTTATAATGCGATCGATAAACGATCGATTGTATGTTCGCGGCGCCATACGATGTAAATACGTCGAATGACTTCGATAAATCTCTTCCAAGTGCCTTCTAATTTTTAAGAAAAATTCAGTAGATTAAGAAAAATGCAGTCCATGAAATTTTTCCATTAATTCTTATCGTCCCATATTTTTATAAGTAGAACACAAATCATAACAAATCAAGAATTAGCAATCATTTTAGAAAAAATTATAATGATCGTTTTGTTCGACATATTCTTGATGAAGAATTTATGATAAGTTTTTTAACAATGTTTTTTTAGTTAAAAAATTATTTAAAAATCATTACTTTGTCAAGATCACAAAATTATCATCAAAAATATATCGAACATACCGTTAAGATTTTTTAATAAAATGATATCTAATATTTTGTTTTGATTTTATTCTACCTAGATGTAGCACAAATTATTTCAGCAATTA